CCCCCCCCCCCCCCCCCCGGGCGGCCTCGCAGTCACCGCTCCGGATCATGGCGCGAGTTGCGTGGAAGCATCTCCATGGCTTCTTCATCGTCGTCGTCTGCTGATGTCCTGTCTTCCTTGGACGCTCGATACTCGTCGACGGAAGAGCGGTCTTGCTGAGCAGAAGCCAGTGATGCGCTAGTATCCCTCTCCGCCTGCCTGGAGAAGAGGCCTGACAGCACTCGTTTTTGCGTGAGGTAGTACATAGGCACACCTGCCAGGATGAACCCAAAAGCGGCGATAGCTGCAGAAAGAAGGGATGCGCGTCAGCCGCGGCCAGAGAGAGCTGGTCTTGGCCAAGCGTTCTCACCTTCCAGCGGGGAAGAGAAGATGGGCATGATGAGCAAGAAAAGGGCAACTGCAGAGAAAACGATTGGCGTGACGAGCCACGTCTTGAGAATGCGAGGAAGAAAGCGACGCGATTGAGACAAGAGGGCCGACAACAGGCAAACCCGCTCCGCAAGGACTTACTCGATAAGGTCTCTCTAAATTTGGCTCCTTGATCCTCAGCACAAGAAGACCCAGCACAGTGAAGAAGTAGCCAGACCACGAGCATACACTGCGAGTGTGTCGCGCTTCAGCAAGCGGGTCAAGGTGAAGCGTGCTGGGGATGACTGGTGAACCTACCCGTAGAAATTGACGAGCGATGCAAATCCGCTACCAAACAGGATGAAGAGGAGGACGAGGCCGGCTTGGAGCACAATGGCCCAGATCGGCGTCCTGGTCCTCGTGTTGATCCTTCCAAAAACCTTTGGCAAGTAACCTTCCTTTCCAGCAGTGAAGACGAATCGACCAGATGTGTAGAATTGTCCATTGAGCGCGCCAAGACAGGAAAAAGCAACCAAGCACGCAAAAACCACTCCGCCTGCTGTTCCAAAGATGGCTGAGCCAAAGTCTAGTGCTACAGTGTTTGTTTGCTTCACAAGAACCGGAGGAAGCACAAGGAAGTAGGATAAGACCGTGGCTGCGGTGGAGCGCAGAAGTAAGTGAGTTTGTTGAAAACGCCCGAGGCACACCACGCGCAACGACACTCACTCATGAAGATGGCCAGCACTATACCCAAACTGGAGTGAATGGCGCGTGGCAGGTTCCGGGTGACATTCTGAGGGTGCATGCGACGTCAGTTGAGCGTCATTTCCAGGGATACCTTCTCGCGTGTGACTGATTCGTGCTCACTTTGATCTCTCCCGCGATGATAGTGCTTTGATCCCATCCGTCAAAAGCCCATAGCCCAGAGTACAGGGCAAGCGCGTAGTTGCTAGGACTAGTGGAGCTGCCTTCGAAGAGCGCAGAGAAGCTCCTCATAGCTTGTCTTGAAGGCTCCGGTGTCCTACCTCGGCTCGCTTGTACTATGGCCAAAATGGGCACAGCCACCAGAGCGGCCAGCTTGACGGCGGTCGTTGCTACCTGCGCACGCGTTCCCAACTTGCTGCTCAGAGCCTGCAGGCCACTGATAAGCACCACAACGATGCAAGCAGAAAGTTTGATGCTCCAACCAGGGATACCATCCAAGCCTTGCTCGTGTGGATCGCCAGCAGCAGACGACGTCGTGTGGAAGAGTACGCGAGCCACGTACTCGCCAAAGATCGTAGCTATGATGGCTCCTGACCCGGATTTGAGAGCAACGATGGAAGTCCAGGCGAATAGATATGCCGAAAGAGGTCCGAAGGAATAGTTCAGATAGGCCTGCGCGCCGCCATTGAGGGGAATGGCTGCCCCTAGCTCGGCGAATGACGAGGCTCCGGTCCATGCTAGCACGCCACTGACAAGCCACACTACCAAACTTGCCCCTATGCTGCCAGTGTTGAGCGTGATTACGCCAGGAGAACTAAAGATGCCCGACCCGATTTGCAAGCCGACAGTGAGAGCAATGCCTGGGGAAGATGCAACGAATAGTCCAAGTCGTACAGGGGCGTCAGTATGCTTTGGGCCTTTCCGCGCACGCCTCAGGGTGATGCGCAACGTGGAGACTAGCGTGCAACTGGCAATCTGACGACCGTTGCTTGCGTGCCTCATGTCCCGCTTCTAGAGGTCGTCCCGTACTGATACCAAGGACCTCTGGGCCACCTCATCGAAAAGGCGAGCGAGAGCTGGACTCACCATCAACGAGGCCCATGCGCCTCTGATCGGGCCTGATAGGACTGCCAGGGGCGCCAGCTGCCATTCTTCGCCTCCTCCTTCGCCCGGGAGCAGGCAGTATCCTGACGCCCTCCCTCTCTCCGTACTCCCTGCTGCCCCTCCTGCGATTGCCGCGCGCTGCCCAAGACTCTTCAGCGCTGACATTGCCCGGCCTATCAGCAAGTCCTAGTCTCTCATCTTCTTCCTCTTCCTCTTCGTAATCGTAGTCGTACGAATCATCCTCGCCGCTGCCCGACAGAGATAATGGCAGGAGATGCTGAGAGTAGTTGAAGCCTACGGATTCGAGACTGGCTCGGGACACCCTGGCTGATGCGAGCGTGCCTAGCACGCTGCCTGTGTGGCTGTAAGAAGTGCCAGCAGGACTGGCAGGGATACCAGAGGATGCTTTGCTAGGTCCAGCCAAAGCCTCTCGGCTGGCAAAGCCTGGTAAAGTATCTTCTTCGTCGAATATCACCGGTCCGTCTTCTTCATCGTCATCGTCGTCATCACCAACATCGCTGCTTTCGGTGGCTGCAGCGCGCTTGACCTCTTCGGCTGCTGCGTGATGAGATATGGGTTCAGAACGTGTGGCGGAGGCTTCGTGAGGGATGGACTGCTCAGCTATGGCGGAAGCGACTGGATCGCTTGACATGGCGAGCGCAGCTTGGTCCAGTCTATACACCGGCAGATGCCTTGTATGCGGACCTTTCCCGGAGTTTACGCTTCTCAGAGCTTGTGAAAGTTGCGTCAGGTGGCCTCGCTAAGCCAAAAGAGAACAATGCAGTGCCCAGAAGACGGAAGATCTGGCTGCTAGCTCTTCCGGCTTGAGAGGTGCCCGCTAATCGTGATGCGGTCCTTGCCTTTGTGATCGTGAATGCTGCAGGAGGTGGATGTGAGATCAACGGCCTGTCCAGTCGCAGCACGTGATGGCGAACGATAGAAGAGGGCCGGTGCACCGAGTCGAGTCAAGAGTCAGAGTGTCAAGGATGTTGAAATCTTGAACAGGAAGATGTGGACACATCGCTTCTTGACACGATCACGAGTCTTCTAGCCGCTCGCTGGTTGGCAGCTACACGGGCATAGCTATTGGTCTCTTTCTCTAGCCATTGCACACAATCTTGAATCTTGAATCATCGTGATGAAATCCTTATCCTTGCAGCACGATGGCGGGGCATGTCCCCCC